CTGTTTTAAAGGAAAGCTTAATAAAACTTTGTATATATAGGGTAAATTTCATTATAATGATCACTTCTGCTTATATATTTTAAATTTGCATTTTCCAAAGGGGGAAAAGATTTGTTGCAATGAAAGTTGTAAAAAGTGCCCAGCATTATACGGAGACAGCCTTGGATGAAATAAAATTGCTCAAATGTGTAAGTACTGTAAAATCTTGAATGATAGAAGACAAATTAATAACTTAAAATTTTACAAAGGGATTTTTCTGGGTTTGACGAAATTAAAATTGATTTTATGTTTTATAAGTTCAAATACTGAATCTTTTGTTTTAAAAAACACATCACTTACATTAAAACCATTTTGGTTGGTATAATGGAAATTATTTTCAGTCATAAACACTTCTGTTCTTGACTTATTTTTCTTTCCATAGGTTCGAGAAAGTGATCCCAGTGACCCAAATAAAGACATGGTAGTACAGCTAATTGATGACTTCAAGATTTCAGGCATGAATGGAATCCATATCCTTTCTGACACTGCTGTTGCTTCCTAATGGCTGAATTATACTGTAGTCTTTCTTATTGCTTTTGAAAAATTGGAATGTGTAAACCCGCTTAAACTTGTGCTTGCTCTGCTTTGTGATTCTCTGCATAAAGCCTCTCATGTAATCCCAGAGGGTTGGAAAGTGATATGTCTAGAGTGCTCTTCTAGGGCTTTCGGGGGTTTTGGTGTAGTAACATTTTATAAAATTATTTTACATCACTTGACCTGATTCTTGCATGGAATTATTAATCTTTTTTTAATATATTTTTTATTGATTAAGATATTACATATGTGTCCTTGTCCCCATGTTACCCTCTACCCCCCCCCTCCGCTCTTGCCCTCCCCCCCGTTGTCCGTGTCCATTGGTTAGGCCTATATGCCTGCATGTAAGTCCTTTGGTTGATCTTCCCCCCTTACCCCCACCCTCCCCTACCCTCCCTCCAAAGCCCGACAGTCCAATCAATGCCTCTCCATCTCTGGATCAGTCCTTGTTCATCAGTTTATGTTGTTCC